GAATGACCAGAGGGAGAACTTCCTAAGAGGAAGTCACTCCTGGAGTCCTTCCACATGGTTCTTACTTTGCAGCCCTGGGATTTTTGTGAGCCCCAGGTACAGATTTCGTGCAGGATTCATCCCAGTCACTGAATTCCATCTTCTCCCCGCTGCAGAGGATAGAAGCAGTGGGGCATTGTGGTTAGAGTACATACTAGGCAACTGGACTGCTTGGGCTTAAATCCTGGTTTCTCGTCCACCTCTGAGATGTGACTTTGGACAAATTATTACTCTGAATCCGTTTCCTTGTCTGTGGAATGGAGCTATAACAGTCCCTACATTGTACACATTGCTGGAGGGTTGAGATAATACAGTAAAAACTTGACACACTAAACAAACAGTGGCTATTATGATGATTTATCTACAAGCCAGGTTTATGTGTGCTTGGATTTGGGAGCCAGCCAGCCTGGGCTCGAATCCTGGTTCCTGTAACCTTGGACAAATGACCTCATCTCTCACTTTCCTCATCAGTAATGGGAAAACCTGCTTCATAGGATCCTTATGAGGATATGAAGAGCAAATGAGTTAAGGTTTGTAAAGCACTTATAACACTGCCTGGCACATAGTATTTGCTTCATAAATATGTCTTAAAAACTTTTCTAGACTCTGTCAAAATACAGCATAATTTCACTCTGGCACGGGCAGCACAGAGCTGTCCAGATAAGCACATATTTAATCTGCTTATTGGGTGTAGGGGAGGAACAGACGGATTTGGAAGGGCATTAGGGTTTATTTGCTTCTCTGTTGAAGGTCCAGGGGGACTAAAGGCTGTGAGAAACTAGGAAGTGTGGGATAAACAGCTCTGGTTCAAAAGAGCATGGCTTTAGCCGTGGGTTTGGCTCAGTAGATAGAGCATAGGGTCCCCAGCTCCAATCCAGTTCAGGGCACACGGCCGGGCTCCATCCTCAATAGAGGGCGTGCAGGAGGCAGCCAATCAAAGATTCTCTCTCATCATTGATGTTTCCATCTCTCTCCGTCTCCCTTTCTCTCTAAAATCAATAAAAAATAAATAAAATTTGTTTTAAAAAAGAGCATGGCTTTGGAACCTGCAGCCAGAGCCAGTTTCCTCAGGTGTAAAATAGACCAGTGTCCACGGAAATGACAGCAATACAACTATTTATCGAGCATCTCCCAGGTAGGCATAAGCTAAGCGTTTATGATGCCCATTTACAGATGAGGCTGGGCGAGGGTATACGAACTGCCCAAGGATGCACAGCAAATGAACTGAAAGCGTGAAGATTCGTGTATGATTCAAAATCTGCGTGTGGCGGAGCTAAGTGCGATTCAAATGCTAAGGGCCATTTTACGACAACGAAAGGCTTATGAATGAATGATCGCTCTACTGGGAGGGCAGGGTGTGTTTCCCACACTCCGGCCGGCAGCCACGCCCCAGGGCCGCCCAC